AAACTAAGGCATGCATCTAATCTTCAAATCGATGAATGTGGTATTCTAGCGTCGTTTTGAAACGGAAGAAATTGCAGCATAATCGCGTGTACATAGCAGACTGAAGAATGAAATGATCTAAAACAGTGCAACTCAGTATCTCATTTCGGTTACGCCAAAGTGCGTTTCCCAAACACACTACAATTAAACCCGAGTTGATATTCTCTTGTTCTTGTGTGAAGTAGTGAATGGTTGCTTTTGATCCGCGTCAACTGACTTATGCGTGTCGTGATCTCCAAACCAAAACTATCGCAAGAAACATAAAAGGCCAACATTTTAGGTAAGGGAGAAAGTCATAGAAGGTGATTTTCCTTATCATGGTTGAAAGTAAGTGTTCAATGGGAAACATAATCAGTTCTGTACAAGCGCACAATTATGTAACCGCTGGGAAAGAAGAGCTAATAAGTTTTGGCGATGATTAAGCGTCGAAGGTTCGCTTTATTCATCTACAATCTGTCTTCCTTAGTTTTTAAGCAGTCGACGACTCCTCGCTTTCATTGAGTTGAGGTAGTTGCAGGAACTACCTGAATCAAACAGGAAATCGTGGAGAAACTCTTAACAGGTTTAATTTTAAAGATTGATTATAACTCAGCGCGTGAAGAATTATGAACACAACAATTCTTTCTACGTATCATAAAAAATCATTGCAAATTGATCCAGAATACACTCTTCTGATTGTCCAATACTATGGATTGCACATGAAATTTACCAAGTCCAAAACAAAGATTATTAAATATTGATACAAACCACTTTTAGCGAAATAAGACTCAACACTGACCTGAGAGGCTACCCCTAACATATTAAATTCCCTGCCTATATGCGTGTTCAAGCAATCATCATGTAGTTTTACGCTTGATAAGTAAGCTATGCTCAGGTTAATTAAGGCCTGGGTCACCCTGTCTTTAAGCCATATTTTTCACAAAATTGAGAATAACTTAGCTATTTTGCGAGGGATTTTTCTCATACTTGGCAGAAATGTGTATCACTACCATCTCTCTCGGACTGAATTGTGGCAGCGTAATATGATACTCTCAACAGCCAAAAACAGCAAATCAAAATGCAGTTATCGTTATGAATATTTGAGACGTTTTTCATTGTTTTCCCACTTGGAATGGCTGCCAAAAAAAAGAGAGATGTGCTAGGCAGATTAAATCAAGTTTTGTCTCTGCGAAGCTGCTTCCTCTATCATGGTTTTCGCCCGAAAACATCTTAGCCTTTACCTGGTTCCAACCGCTATCAATGAAAGTAATCCAACAGGTTCCTATTTATTTGGAAAAAAGACAAATTAAAACTGTTTAAGAGGTGGGAATTTTGAAAACTCGTAGTCACGTAATTCAACTTAGTGTCCGCCATTTTGACACGCGAGTGTTCAGAAGCAATAATTTAACGGCTGGTACACTACCAAATACTACTTGGAGCAATCTTAGAAGTAATACAGGCAAACTTTGTATACTTTGTATGATATTTATTTATTTTTCTCGTTCTCTGAGGTTGATTGCATCTCTGTAAATCCAGGGTTAGATCGCCTTTGACAGTTCTAATAAAACACAATTGCAAATTTGGGCGGTAAGAATAAAGAAAGTTTGTAATTTTATCCCAAGTAGTATCATATAACGAGACTGAATTACAATTTTGGCGCAAAACTTGAAAGTTATCGCGAGATACGCACACTGATTCCTTGGAACTCTTCAAGGTTTTGTTCCCTAACAACGGTACTACTCGATAACAAGCTAAGTGTATTCGTGTGAAACGAAAATGTCTGTCATTTTTAATTGTGGATTTGCAAGAGTTGCTGTAAAGGAGAGATTTCGTAAGGTTGGAAGTGCTTCGGTTGAAACTAACCCTAGTGAAAAGCGGAAGAACTATCTTGCAGCGTTCGAGGGTGACAGTCAGGAAGTCTTTGCGGTCGAACGTTCCACCTACGTCAAGAAATCCAAAGCAATTTACAGCTCTTTCCGAAAGATGAACTCAAAAGCCAGGGCCCAGACACGTTTTCAATGGTAAACTGGAAAGCTCTTAATACAGCGCAGAAAAAACAGCACACACTGTCAAATTGTGGAGGTTGCAAAGTGCACTATTATGCCATCCATAATTTTTTCCCAGTGTAGAAACTTTCAAAACCCGAAAACTTTTAAAAGAGGCCCTTATTGAAAGCGGGAAAAACCAACGCAAAAAGCCGTTAAAACTGCTGTAAAACACATTTATTCAAAAGTGAATGGCCACTTTGAAAAAATTTTTAAAGTCAGCTTTGCTGAAGTACAAACAAAAGTGAAAGAACTTCAGCTCCAAAAGAAGAAAGACGCAATTGAGAAAAAGCGGCAGCGTCGAGAGAGAGCACGCCAAGAAAAAAATAAAATCCAATGCTAATGTCTAGTCCATCTGGAGGAGTAATGTTTCTAGTTACTTTGCTGTAATTTGCACGCCAGACAATGAGATCAACAATCTTCACCTTTACTTGTGTTGCAATATAGCATTTATTTAAGCACACTCTCTATAATATATTTACCTTCATTTTCCAGTTTTTTAAAAGGAATGCAAGTACCAAATATTCCACTGTAAACTTAATCAATCATACTGAACTTCTTCCAACCAGTGGAGAGAATATAATACTGGGAGAAGGATCCTATGGTCGATGCCTTCTGAGACAGTACACACGATTTGATATATAGGTTGTGGAAAAACAGTCTCTGATGCAGGACACCACAGAGATAATGAAAGAGGCTCACATTATGCAGGCACTCGCACATAAAAATATCTCAACCATAATAGGTGTACAGCTTCAAAAGCAGCCCATTTCCTTAATACTGTAGTTTAAAGGGGAAGACAATACATCTGTAACAATAAGCAAACTATTGTCTTGTCAGAAAAACAGTGCAACAATACAGAATGTGCAAAGCTCACTCATAACAAATGACTGGTTAATTATTTCACATGATTTGACAGAAGCCCTTTCACATATTCACACAAAAGGCTTTCTTCACTGTGATTTGAAGGCTAATAATGTACTTGTGAGTAACAAACATGGCTACATCATCGACTTTGGAAAAGCATGTGACAGCTCCTTTCCTCCTGCAAAGAAGTACAGCATCTGTTATCCTCATATTGCTCCTGAGGTTCTTAATGGTTCTCCCTGTGGCAAAGCTAGTGATATTTTTTCCCTTGGTAAAATTCTGTTCAAAGTAGGTGTTAAGCAAAACATTCCACTTTTGGTTTCCATGGCTCAAGAATGTTTGGATGCCAGCCCTGTAAGAAGACCAACAACAACAAGCATTATGGAAACACTGGCTTCCATAATATCTCACTGAATTCTATAAGCTTAAGCAGGGGTTTCACAGGCCTGACACTGGGCAAATTGACTGGCTGGGAACATAATTTTTCCTGCATGTTGTGACTGACATAAATCAGAATCAAAACATATTTTGCCTGCTTCCTTGTACATTTCCCATCACCTCAAAATCTTAATGAAACCTCTGCTTAAGAAAGTAATAATTAACACTCTAATCAGGTAAAGTGACCCTAGCCATGTCACAGTCTTTTTATTGGGCTTTGCAAGGTTAAAATTATGGTATGTGCATGTCTTTAGCAAGTTTATGTGTGCCCTTGGTCTAAACTAACTTTGTACTTCTACTTTACTTTGTGAATGAAAGTTAGAGGGACATTTTTAATAATGCACTGATAAGGTGCTCTAGGATCCATCAGGTACAAATTACTTCATAGGTCATACTCATGTCTATAATTTTACATCACTGCTAGATAACATACATGTACCGATTTATTTACCAATTCCTGCTAATTATTGATCTATGAAATTGAATTTAGGCAAGCAACTGGCAGATCAAACTTAAAATTATAAACCAGAGTTTTAACTAGTTAGGCCACCATAGCCTTCTAACAGGAATATTGACTTGGAAGAACAACAAAAAAAGCAAGAAATACAATTTTAAAATTTTCCTTTCTGACTTTGTAACAAGGGCAACCTATCCTGCTCTTAAGATGGCACATCTTTTTTGAGTAAGGCTGAGAAGATGACACATCTTATACCAGTTTGTGTTTGCTCTTGTCACAAAAAAAAACAGTGCCCCACTTGGGGCAACAGTAAGCACTGGTAATTAATCATGTCTTATCAAAAAAGAGAGAAGGCTATGGTCAGAATCATATGCATGTATCAGAACTTTTGCGATGCATTTGAATTAAAAGATACTCCACTGGTGTAGTGGGTAGAATATTTACATTCAAATAGACACATATATCAATTACATGTCCACATTGACAATGATTGTTGCAATTATTACCAGTCAAAACTTAAATTTTACCAAACTGTTGACTATAATTAAAACTGATATAACATGATTTAAAAACCAAAAAATGCCTCATAAATAACATCATTAACATGCTTGTAATAAATTAGTTGTGTGGAATAACTAGAAGGACCTCTTCAAGAAAACAAATAGGGATAACAGTAAATAAAACTGGTTTTAATCAAGTGGATTCCCTTTGGAATCTGCAAGGGCTGGCTGGTTTTCTGTGTGAGTAATTAAAATTATTATTATTATTATATATTTATAGCAATTCAGTAAGTGACCTCGGAATTAACTAACACACATTAGTACAGCTTTTTTCTCTCAGTTTTAAAGGGACAATTTATGACAAGACAATCTGCATCTTACATGTCAGCAATTAAACTTACCTAACAACTGCTTTGGGGGATTACTTTTGTCAGTAAATTCATCTGCTTCTTGGAGAAATTGTTTCCAAAGCATTCAAAAGCCTAAATTTTGATAAACACCATAAGTTTACACATCATGATGTGATAGAGGATTTATCAAGCTAAATTTAATTTCAAAATTGAATGGTATATCCACAATGAAACTTTTTTCTATGAATTTGTTGCAAAACATAGTACTTTTTTCTATGCATAAGTTACAAACATTGTAAAACGCTATTGAGCTCTAGAAATGAGCGCTATATTATAAATTCATGTTGCATTGTATTTGCAGTGAAGTCAATGAACATGTTGAGAGCGGTGTTTAGAAGTCTTCGTAGGTTCAAAAGGGTTCTCTTTGGCTTTAAGATAGCGATATCATGCCATTTTTTGAGGAAATGAAGATAGCAAAGAAAATGTTATTACCTTCTTTTGATGTCTTCCTCTAGATTGTCGGATTCACCAGCGAAGATGGGAAAAACCAATGCAAAGCCAACACTTCAAAATGGCGGATGCCGTTCACGAACTACGCGATCTTGATTCCAAGTAACTATGGTTACTCGCGCAATCCACGCGAATTCCGCGAACCTTGCTGGGGGGGGCACTGGAGGCGAAAATCATTTTTGACCCAGGCCTTAATTAACCTGAGTGTTTGCCTATTGTAATAAATCCTTCCTTGAGAGAGGAGAGAGGAACGACCGACGAATGCCGAGTCGGAAGAATGAAAAATAATCCTTGTTCGAAACTGTTTCCTGACTGTAATATTCAGATGTTGAGCTGAAAATCACGCATGAGTTCGTCCGCCGCTTCTCCACTTGACCGTGGAGTGATAAGCAGCGGAAATAATCTAGTTGAAATAGCACCTTTGTCAAATGTGTTCTACATCGTCATAATCGGAAATCATAGTTAAGGTCTAGAGAACTAAATTAGTTTTTCATCATTAAGATATTATTGAATTAGGTGAGAAATCAAATTTTTCCAGCTACAAATGATTTCCCGCACTTTGAACTCAAATTATTTTCATCCAAATTGTATAGTATTCATCAATTGCTAAGTCAGAGCGATGACGAAGGGCTAACGCTTGAAAAGTCAGCTTTTGAACTCTTTATGGTGGCAACTTTACGTTACAATTCTGTTGATAACACTAAGTCTCCCTCTTCGAAAGCATACAATGATGCATGGGTACAACGTTCAATTCTGCTTGACAAAATTATTAAAGTTTAAGTAAAGGTTTGCAATTGGGAAAAGTTAAACGAGCAAACGTTAACAAAGGATGTTTTTCTTGCCAACAAGATATCGAAATAAGTATCTCAAATACACTCGTCGGATGTTAGGTTTTCATCGGCTGATGACGGCCGATTATTCGCAATGACGAATGGGAGAAAACGATCACCAACAAAAGCGAAAGTTAGCTTCATCTGTTCCCTGTAAACGGGCCCCCTGCAAATTATGATTTCAACGAGTTTGCTGGTGATGGTCCAATTCTGCACAGTGTACGGCGAAATAACTCATATTACACGCCACTAAGACCTTGTTTTGATAACAAATCGGTTATCTTAGAGAGTAGTCGAGCTTCCTCTTTGTATACCACTTCTGATATCAACGGCCATTTTGTCTACCACGACGAAGTCATTCGTACAGTTCTCTTGGTTAAGTTTAAACAGAAAGCATCGTAGAAACGGTTTTGGAGCTGAGGTATAGTGCTTTCAATTGCCTCAATTCTACTAAAGAGTGGTAGTTAAGCGAGCCAAGTTTACTCAAACTATCAGATTTGTTAGCGCAGCAAATTGTGGGGGAAAGCGGTGGATAATCAGCAAAAGCCCGTAATGTAAATCAAGATACTGTAATTCCGAAAAGTACTCACACGTAATTCGCAAAGTCACACACGTGCACCCAGTTAGTAGTAAAGGTAGATAGCAGAGAAAACTAACCTGCATCGATGATGATTCATTGCTACATACAGAGAGACAGTTGAAACTGAAAGAGGAAGTTTTAGAAAGAGGCGCTCCCTATTTATGACGTCATTTACTCAGGCGAGTGTCCCTGGCACTAGAGGCGTCACGCTACGATTCTCGAGCTTTTGCACCTTCCCTCCGACTGATTTGCGATCCGCTGACCTCAGCGTCTTCCGTAATACGAGTGTTTCTTGAAACCATTTCCATCGCTGAGCGAACTTATTCGCCGCTTCCTTCTTCAAACTCCTATACAATTCAATTAGGGATTTTTTTTTTTGGGGGGGGGGGGAGCAGCCAGTCATACAACTTGTGTAAAATCTCTCGTCATTTATTCATTTATGTCCTATGTCAAGTGAGAAGTACTTTCTCATACAAAACACTCGATGTGAATTAGAGAACTTCCGCTTCTTTTGTTATAAATACTGCAATTTCATAGTAGTAATGCAATCCGTTAAAATTTTTTAATGAAAATACTTTTCAATACATATTCAGTAGATAAATAAACTCGTCTTGCATTATCTTCGCTATCATCCGTACAGCAGATTTCTCTTTAGTATAAAAGACAAGACTGTCTGAAGAAGAAAGACCGGCATCAAAAAAATTAAATAACTGCTTAATGCAAATTAGTTGGGACGGGTGCTTGAGTGGTGAAATTACCAGTAATGTTACCACTAACTGTCTTATTGTCAACGGTCGCTGTTTCATATGAGGGCGGTAAAGGAACAAAATACCGGACAAATACGGCGGCACCTAATATCAGCAATGAAATACCCAACGGAATAAGACGTTTTGTAATGAGAGACTTTTTCTCTGATGATGTTAGTCTAATATGATGATTTGTACCACACGCTGTTTCTAACGCACTGTCCTCTAGGTTAAATTCAAGTTCGCCATTACACTCAGTCCGTTTGTTCCCGTCACTAGTCAAGAGTTCAAAATGATTGTTAGCGGCATGAAATCGGCTTAAGAATGGAAGGGATGAGGTCTTGTAAATCCAGCTAGATAGCATCGCATCTAATGAAAAAAGGAAGAAAACAAGCAGATAATCTTTCCGTTTTACATCATATCAAGGGTCAGAATTAGGAACACGGTTATTATCGATGGTTCTCCACTACCCGAGAATCTCAATGAGGTCAACCGTTAGCCGTAAAATGGTCAAAATTTTTAACCGTTAGCCGTGAAAACCATCAGAACTGATGAAAAATTCCTGGGCGTTTCACGTCACGCGGAAATAAATGAGCTCCTGCAAACGATGGGCCCGTTGGCGCTAACACTTCACATCATATGCCGTGAGGAGGTGACGTCTTTTCAGCATTTGGGGCAGTTTAAGCTGAACTGATTTGAATAATTATCACAGAGAAGTTACAAGCATCCTAGGACCCCCTTTTCACCTCCTAACCACACCCTTGATATAACACCACTACCTCTTTCTCTTCTGCTGACTTCTACATTTATCCAAGTCTCTGATACATTGTACAACGCTGACTTGATTGCTGTTCGTTCTTTCGCCTGATTGAGGCAAACAAAAAAGAAGCAAAATGATACGAAGTAACGAAGTGAGAAAAGAACCCAAGGTGGGGGAATTAATTTACTGCAAACTAACAACAACTGTAGTATTCAATTTAATAAAAACCGTAAATAATATTACGTAAATAGCTGAAAATTCAACAAAGCTACTCTAACGCCTCTTTTTGTCTTTCGTCCTTTTTTTTTTTATTTACCAAAACCTCTCTGGCAAAAGACATCCCCACGTAATGTTCAGGTAGCTGTCAGTTAACCCATTGAATAAAATCGCCCTAGAAAAGGCTCTAAGACACTACCATTACAATGAGAGGTCATCTAGGGCAGATATGTCTTTCTCCGCTCTATTTCAAGGTAAAAGTATATAAAATAACGCCCAAATACAGACCATGACTACTACAAATATTGAATTACACTACAATAATATGAAATAATAAATATTAAATATGATAAATAACTGATTGATATACTAACCAGCTTTGCTTGCCTCTCCCAGTCTGTTCTCCACAGTAGAATCACATATAAAGACGCCTAAAATACAATCATAAGAGAGTTGAATTTTGAGGAAAAGAGATCCAAACTATTCCAAAGACACCGAAGGTAACCGGGCGCAAAAGCTGAACAGTAATTCAATGGCAATCAGCGGCTCACCTGAGATACGACTCCAACCCCCAAGCCTATCCAGAGACCTTCAAGCGAAATGACATCGGTAAGATCTCATGACAAACTTAACACGCTCCCACAAAGCAAAGCGAGCACACATAAAAAACGATCATATGACCTTACGCGAGCGCGCGCAAAAGAGCACACCGAGTGAAACAAACGAGGAACTTTAAATAGATGAGTAAATTTCGCCTCCAACTATGCAAAGTCATGTTCCACTTGTGACCTGTCAGTACTTTCAAAGGTGAAATAATAACATCCAAAGGCTATTTCATTACGGTTTTATTTTTCCTTCTTTTTTTTCTCCTTGACCATACCGTCAAGCATTCTCTATGACCATCCAATTCCTTATTAAATTTTTTTACACCAACCCTCTTAATCTGCTTTTTTTATGTGTCATCGAACATGGCAAGAAAGTACTAATGGTATAAGCTAAGCTTTGTTCGAGCAGGAACTACCACGACCCACACGTATCATAAAATTTATTCTTTCACCGAAAGCGGCGATCAAACATTGATATATTTGCTAAATTTGAACGCTGATGTAGCAATTTTCAATTCCTTTACCTGTAATTTCATGGAAGACTAAAAACATCAACGTTATCCCACAAGGAAGCCCAATACAGCAATAAGCAACAAAATTTATCAGTACTCCTATCGTCTGCCGGCCTGATCCTCGGACAATACCACTGCAAACACCCTTAAAAAATATTAACCGAAAGAAAACTCATTTGACAATGACTTGAGTCTTGGGCCCTGCAGTTGCTTTGAAAGTTGTGTCAGCGGTCTACTACAAATGCGGCTAATGCGATGTTTTTGGCAATTTTGACAACAAATCATATAAATACCATTTAGAGAGGAAAGAATCTTTGAACTCTACTGACAGCCCAAACATCCGTTACTACCTTGCCTGACCAATTTCCTTTGAATTTTCACCAGAACGTAATGAACAAGAAATCGTTATTCGTCAATAATCCATTAAACAGTTAAATTTCATGAGAGCGAGAGTGGCTTGATTACATTTTCTTTTCAGTTGCTATGGAAGTACAAGATTAGCAGCTAGATATTTTCGACTATAAATCCTCTTGTAAAATTGTAAAATACAAAGTCTAAGAACGGAAGTGACTAAACCAGTCAAATAAAAAATTTAAGTTTACCTGACTTCTGGTTGTTAATTAAAGACACTAAACGGTTAATAATTGTTCTTTACCTGGACTCCATCAAAGAGAAAGTAGGCAGACATGAAGCGAATATTCTTTGTGTATAATGACAACACTTCGCTGCACGAAAAAAAAAAAAAAAAAAAAAAAAAAAAAAAAAAAAAAACGATTTTCATTCAGTAAACATAACGTTAAGGTGTTTAATAAACCACAGGCGGCCCTAGCTCCAGCTGCGAGATGATCATCTTGCACAATAACAGTCATGGCGGAATTATAAGAGTTTGTATGAGAATATTTACGACCGCTCTAAGGAATAAAGCAATACGTCAAATTCTCAATAAAAAATACCTCACCTTACTTTCACAGCGTATCAGTTGTTATCTGACCGTTTGAAAGGCCTTTCTTATATACGTTGAAAACCTCGAAATGGACAACTCGCTAAAATGGGTTCTTTTCATCAAAGCAAACGGTCAGATAACAAGTGATACGCTGTGAAAGTAAGGTGAGGTATTTTTATTGAGAATTTGACGTATTGCTTTATTCCTTAGAGCGGTCGGAAATATTCTCATACAAACTCTTATAATTCCGCCGTGACTGTTATTGTGCAAGATGATCATCTCACAGCGGGAATGTGGGCCGCCTGTGAACAAACAAAATGACAGACAGAGAAATGGTCTTTGTCATAGGTGCGACTGATTTAGACTGACATGCACGAGCGAGGAATTTTGACCGGCACGCACGAGAAGTTAAGCGAGACACACACAAGAGCAAAACCTTTCTTTTCGATTTCTTAGGAAGGGAGCTCTATCTCGCGTGTCTGTTCCCTCGCACGCGTGTTTCTTTGGTGCACGTGTGTTTCTTTAGTGCGTGCTTTTTTTTTTTTTTTTTGCTACGTTGGCTAAGAGACTATTGCCTTAATTTTGAGATCCTTTCAATGACGAGGTAATAAAGCGGTAATCTGAGGTTCATAAATATATCGATCACAACACCATAACTGATAACATTGCTAATCATAAAAATTACAATTCATTTGCCAAGTTGTTATCGGACAGTTCAATAAACCAATCACACTCAGAATTGTAGTGTAAGTCAACCAATCACAACCTGGGTCTCAATCACCATTGAAACTGTGTACAGACTTCAAAACTGAGGTTTTCTTTAATATGGAGAATTTTTTCTCCTTTTCATGGAAATTGTAATTTTATGATGAATTAGTAATAAGACTTCGTGTCATTCAATTTTCGGTCTGTAATCATACTCGTGATAAACAAATCGGAATGTCTGATTTTGATAGCACTCACATGATTACAGACTGCTTTGGACTCCACTCAGTCCTATCACCATTTCAAATTACCAATGAATAATGTACGAACCTGTTATCGGTAAACACTCTTCCAGTCATGTCTTGCAGTCCAAAGAAAATGGCAAACACAACAAGATCTATACAGACTGTAGGTAAAAGAGTTTTATCTTCAACTAAGAGTCGAAATCAATCTGCCTTTATTTCAAGAAGTAATGGCTATAGGTGACCGCAAATTTTGGTGAACTTGTATTGGTATCTATGATTCCACTACGAGTTTAAGGTACTTTTCGAATAATTTTCTACAAGTTTTTACCGATAAGTCCAATGGCCACTTTCGCTGTCCTTTTTGCCGCAGCTGGGTCGCCGGCACCCAAAGCATTTCCAACACGGACACCAGCGGCAATGCTTATTCCAAGAGGAATCTACACATGTAAAACAACGGGATTAAATGACTATACCACATATCTTATTTGTGGAAAAGTCTATTGGCAGAGACATGTATCATGAGAGAGTGTTGATCTAAACATTCAAGAACAATGGAAACCTGAATGCATTGTCACAAATCTTAGTGCTATTAATGGATACCAACGATTTTAACCTGCATTTTATCATCATACATTTAATAAGTTTTGTTTTCTCACTCACCATAAAATGAAATGCGGCCCACTGGAAAATTACCCCATATGTGGCCAGTTGGTACTCACCATACGACCCTTTCAAGGTAAAATAACAGAAACTATCGTATTACTTATCACCACATGGTTATTAAAATAAAATTAATTTTATATCATAAAAAGTAAGTGCTGGACAAATCTCTAATTGAGCATCAACAATAATCCTTGACTTTTAGATGTTAGTTTTATTTTACTTCATGCTGTGATCAGATGCTTTGAGTTCTCATCAGGTTGTTACATGTTATTTTCCTTTGCTCTAGAATGCCTTAGTTTAGCTAAGTTTTGTTTTCATAACATTAAATCAAAATTTGAAGGAGTAATAATGGTTTTGCTAAAGGCTATACCAATTGAAACAAAGCAAATAAATTTGTGGAAAAACATCTGTTGTCTTTTAGATAAGAATTAGTGTAACAAGCAGACACAGGAGTGTAGGGTGTGTCTGCTGAATTCAAACTTATTTCAAGTTAACATGAGAGGAGAACTTTACTTCCTTGGGCAAGAATTCACTTAGCACAGGGTGTCCACTAACAAAATAGCACCTGCTTGGCACAGGTTTTGCTTCTTGTCAATTTTGCTTACTCATAGGCCTCAGTCAATAATGAATTTCATAACATAAATTAAGTATGAGCCAGTACATGGAAAAAATTGCTACAAATTCAAATGCTATATATTGGACTGACTTAAAAATTGCCCGAATTCCCACTTAAGAGTCCAGGAATAACTTTCTGTTGTTTGAAACATTTATCTCAGTACCTGCAAGAAATGATCCTATTTCAAAACTCCACCACTCAATACAAATCATCACCATTCCAGCCACAGCAAGCTTGATAAACTGTCCCCAGTCTAACAGACTTTCTATGGTCCAGCCTAAAATGCAATATAATTGGACAAATTATACAAGAGAAGCTATGCTATATGGCAAATCTACAGATAATAAATACAAATAAATATCCCTGATGATGAATTTCTGGTTAAATTCTACAGTGCATGATGGTTTTGGTGACCAACAGATCAAGAAGGTTTAAGATAAATGAAAACTAGTTTCCATGTAACCCCCTCCCATACAACAATTCCCAATTGAAAGCTTCCTTAAAAGTTGGCCTCTACTTATTTTTACTCCTTGGTGTAGAAAGACACATAAATGAGAGTAAAGTTTCTCTTGCCAGGAACATAATGCAATGGCTCTGCCAGTCCTCTAACTTCTCTACCCACAGCCCATTGCGCTAACCTTGGGGCAATCCCATCTACATCCTTTCTCCCTGACCAACTGTTATTCTTATTCCAGAAAAAGAGAGAGGATAAGATACCACCCAAAATAATTCATGCCACCCTGTTATTCTTCCCATGTGAACAGTATAAACAGGAAACAAATTTTAACATATTTCTATACAAATTACAAAATTTGTCCTGCTACATGTCACAGCACCATCCTGATTACTGAAGTGGCCCTTAACGACTGTGTATCCAAACTGACTCAAACAGTCAAGCTGTTAATTTAATTTTTCTGTCTACCAGTGAGTTAACAAAGCAGGGGTGTGCTGTCAATATTAATGATGTAGGTCTGTTTTGAGTACCTGGCCATGTTTTTGCATCCAACTTCATAACCTTCATATAAACAAAGGTCAACAAAAATAGAATCACATTGGTAAAAGACCAGCTGATGGCAATCCCTCTAGAGAGACAAAGCTAGATTAGTAATATTTAATATCATCAAAAGTCCCACACATTCAAGAGTTACAAAGTTATTAAAACCCACAAACAGTCAAGGGAAATGAAAAAAGTTTAAAGTATGGTGTGAATTTAAGCCTGAAAAGTGTTCTTCAAAGAAAATGGCTCTATGTCCACTTTAGCATGAAGTTAAATTCAAATTAACCCTTTAACTGCTAAGATCTGATTGTTAATTCTTCCCTCAAGCTGCAACTCATTTCTTTGTAAATTAGCCATAGATCTTGTTTGCTTTTTTATTTTTATATATGCAAGGCTTTATCCAAAGGAGTACAAGTTCTATGCCAATCATATGTTTGTTTCTACAGCTGTACCTAATTTTAGTGCAAATTTCCCTATTTTAGCAGGTTCACATTAGCATTTTGGCTGGGTAATTATTAAAGCTACGATTTAGTAACCTGCAGTGTCAAACTGAGAGATGCACCAACTGATTAACTGACCAAATGCATGCAAAACAATTTAGGAGACACTTACCTGAAACCCCATTTGAGGACATATACCATCAATGCACTCAAGCCAATCTGAATAGCATTGGAGACAGCACCAACATAAAGAATTGGTTTCACAACACCCTGCAAAGAAGATTAATAATATATATTTAACAAATAAAGATCATAATGAATCCACCTGTCAACAAGCAACATTAAAGTGCATTGAAATGGCTTACTGAGAGACAGAAAGAAAGCCAGACAGAGAGATTGAGTCAATCATAAACTACAGGTTTCACCATTGCACAATAACACAATTTAAGGTATTGTTTCTTTGATGTGAAATATACATGCATCATCCATTGCCTTTCAAATAAGAAATAAAAAAGTAGATATATCAAATGTATATTTTCAAATTGCAGTGTTTTTGAAAATGGGTGTATGTATATGACTTCTGTATGAATGTATACATACATGTACATGACTTGTGTTAATTTTTAAACTGTATACATGTATTTACTTTTTAAAACATTTCATATATAGGTGCAGCATAATATGAAGTGTGTGCAAAATAGTTAAACACATTATACCTGGGTCTGAAGATATCTTTGTAATAGAAAGAACATGAAGATAGCCTGTGGAAACCAAGAACATTCACTTGTACTTAACGAGATTTCTGATCTACAAGGATGATATTTGAGTAATACTGTGAGTAATATTGATGTATTTTTCTATGGTAACTACAAATCAATCTTAAATAGCCCAGGTAGGAGTTAAAATAGAGACTAGGGAAGTAGTACAGGAAAAAAACCTCCCTGGTCTCCCCCCTACAACAAAGTCCGCTTTACCTGTATGGATCCAAGATCATGGTAGCTACAAACTTTAATATGAAATAATAATTTATGGAAAAAAAAATTGAGTTACTTACTATTGAAGCAGGAATGCATGTAAGGGTAAACTCCTGTGTTAGGCTATGGGAAAAATAAAACAATTAGGTACAAGATATCACAATTGGTAATATCGGGGCACAGCATCCAATTTCTGCATTGTGTTTTAGTTTACATCTAGCATTAGGTCACACTAGCCTGCTCTCCCAGCTTCTGAACCTCAGAATCTTATATGCTGATCAATTTGAAGCTTTAACATCCCCCAGTCAACCCACAGGGATTTGACCATCATCCATGCCCAGGGGGTGAGGAATTTGAACCAAGCCAGGGTGAGGTGAGACATTTAAACTGAAAGTGTCAAGTCTTTCTGGCTTAATACAAGAAGAGGAATTAAAAGGTAAAGAGACTACGTTCATGAGCAAATGGCTTAGAAAGACAATTTCCACACAGGAGACTGATACTCACAATCAAAAAACCCAGCAGCAGCCCCCCAAACTACTGTGTTACTTTGCTAAAATTCTACCAAAAAAGAATTGGGCAGAGCATTTGAATGCAGCTTTGGCTACAGGGGGGGGGGGAAGGGGGAGGAGGGAAAGGAATATGATATATATGAGCCATTCTCCAAAAGTTCAAATGCATGGAGGGTTGTGGGGGGGGAGAATTTATAAGCTTTGAATTTGATGCATTATTGTCTGCTGTTTATTGCAAAATGTATCAAGCAGATTAATTATTATTAAAATTTCATTTGTATTTTCTTTTACCCTTCCTCTCTCCACCTCTAAAATTCCTGCATCAAGCCCTTTTGTCTTTTGTTGTAATCAAGATGATGTCATACACTGTTGAGTCCTGGTATTTCACTACTGTCTTCATAAATTTTTTTTAAACCCTTCAAGAGATCAGGGCTTAATTGTTTCAAGGGCAAATAAAGCTCTCTTGGGAGTGGATAAATCCCCATCCAGTGGATAAGTGTTAATAAAATGTACTGTGTTATCCATCAGATATTTTTCTATCCTTTGAGCAACCACGACATTTGTCTGTAATTCTCCTCTCTAGCTTTATATAACGTATCCTTGCAAATTATTTATGAGAATTTAGTGTTAGATCAAGACAGCAATCTCTATCTGATAAGTTTAAGTACTCTCACTACCTTATGGCTGGATAATGGATTGATGTTATAGGAAAAAGTCACTATTGTTAATCATTTGTGGGAGTTACAGAATCTGATATGAAGACTGGACTGAATTTTCTAAGACTAAACTTGCTAGTGAAGGATTCCTGACATTCAGATTCATAGAAGTTTATCATTACCATTACTTTCTAAGTATTATAACTTACTGGAAGTTTCTTTATACTTTACTTACTGGGAAACATTTCTTTTCTGTTCTACCCTCAGCAACAGCAGTTCAGCATTGATCCAGAGTGCCCAGGTTAATATACATGCAATACCCAATATCCAAATCCCTCTCTGAAATGCGATGCCTGCCATGCGATAGTTCTTGGCTCCAATGGCTTGTGAGCCTAATGTCTCCAAAGCTGAAGACAAACCAGTGAACAAAGATGGTCCCGTGACATTGACAAATGAAATAGCTAATGTCCCTGCTGCTAGTTCAACTTCTCCAAGACGTCCCGCAAAAAACAGGGTTATCATGGAGATCAAATGGTAGAAAAAATAAGAAAACACAGTGGGCCATGCAAGAGTAAACAGTCCTCTGATTTCAAGACAAGTACCACTTGATAACAATCCACCTAAACAGCCAGATGTCCTCTCCAGTCGATAATGTTCATCCTTTTGTCTAATATGTATATCAAATTCATTGTTTGGTGACACAGATTCCAATGCATCATTGGCCATTAGGTTTTGGGTATGAGATCTATAAACAAGGTCAGTCAAACAGAACTAAGATAAGAATTGGTTACTCAAAAAAATCCTAAGTCATATATACCTTTCCGGCCAAGTTACATTATTGATTTTATGTTCCATAAGCAAAATTGTATCGCAAGTTACTTGGAAATCTTCAAGTGATGCTTGAAATAGTAAACCTAACTACCAGTATTCACCAAATTTCCTTGAAAAAAATGTCCACGCTCTAAATAACCACCCTCCTTCCACCATTAAATCAAACAAGTGCCTGTCTCAAATAAACATCTCCCCCCCTCCTCCATCACTTTCTTAAATAGTAGGGATATGAGGAAAACCTGTTTCTACTGCCACTTAAGTTAAACTTTTTAAGCTGCAACTGCAGTAGAACTAGTACAGGAGAATAATAAGCACCCCTCTTGATTAAGTGCCCTCCTTCCCTTAAGCAATGCTCCTTTTAGCCAAAATTTTAAATAAGTGCCAAGGTGCTCATTCAGGGAAATACAGTATCTTAAGTTTTACCTGTCTGACATATTTTCAAGTTCCATTAAAATGAATTCTCAGTCAAAAAAGTTATTATTGCAAATGTATCATTTCAAATGCATCCCTCTTTGGGTTACACAGTAGTGAAATTTGCCCATATTCTCATAGAATTCTTAAAATGAGTTGTTGAAGGGTTAGGAACAAAACATCCCCATCCTTTCCCCGGTTAAAGGGGGTAAGAGTACAACTGTCTCCCCCCTTACTTTCAGTCTACATCAAAAAACAAGAGTGACTCACTGACAAGGAACAATGGTCACAATTTATTCTCACTGAAAAAAAGTAGTATATCAGTGGTGGAAGAAAAACTTTCAGCGTTGCTACATAATTATTCAACAGTTTTATAATAGAGATGTAAAAGAGAGAAAAACAGTGGGATGAAACATGGACTACGGGACAATGGATCGGAATACGGACTTGCGAACCAGTCGCGTAACGCGAAGAAGGGTATCCAACGAAGAATAGCAGTTACTCGAGAGAATCGTGCGGAGCGACTTAAAGAATTTTAACTTCTATTCTTGAAGAATTTCATATTAGGAGTCCAACTTTCTCAAGGTTGTTGATGTTGACGAGTTTTTGTACATCACAAAACTTTTGATCGACGATTTTCGACGCGCGTTTAAACAAAGCCTTTGTTATTAGCCTTTGCCGACTCTTTCGGGTAACCGCCACCCGTTCATAGCCTTTGCAATCTTACCTTGCCTCGAAATGCTAATAGTTGTCTTTGCAAAACGGATAATAAGTGAGAGATCGGAGCTTTCTAATTTTAATAGCGCATTTATCCTTTTAATATTGGACCGATAGGAACCAAATTAACAAGACAACCGCACTCGAGGACCTCAAAGCTAAGAATCATACCGTTCTTACCTATTTGAAACGCTACGGCTTTATCCAAAGGCTCACGTTTACCACCTTGTCGCGTGACTTCCAACACTCCAAAAGATCTACACAGCGTTTTCGCTGACGTAACAAAATTCACCTTCTCGAATAGGCCTACGACCTTCAATGGTTACCCCGACCGAAATGTCATTACTTACCCCGAGTCCCTCCTGTGTCCAGCCGCCCCCTCCAAGTTTTCCCAGACCCTATTGGGAGCAATTCACTAAGACAACAAGAACAAAAAGAATACCTGCCCTGTAATATTCTTGACTCAACGTAAACTGGGCAGCTGTTTTTAAGCTATATTTTTCCCCGAATTGAAAGAAATACAGTTATCTTGTACCCCATTAGTCTCCTGTAACCTTTTCATTCCAATACTAAGTAATCTATGTGATCTAGAGCTCTTGGTACCTGATTGTTTCCCATGCTTCAGTCACATTTCTTTCAACTTTATATTGGTTAGAATTACTATTTGACTATCTAACATCACAAAATAGTAATCAGGAAATTAAGTTTCACCCTTTAACTCCCATGAGTAACCATGAGAGAATTTCTTCTTACAGTGTCAATGCAATATCAAGCAGACAATTGATGAGAATAAAGAAAAAAATAGCCATAAATGGATTGTTAGTTGATCCGATTCGAAATTCTCTAAACTAACATCATATGAACTGTATGGCAGATAGTAAGGTAAATTAATGATGAGATCTTGGGTGTGAGAGTTAATGCTGGCTGGCATTTGTCTCTGGAGATTCATTAATGTCAAGAGTTTAAGACTTAAACAAACAGCAAGGAAAGAGTAAATTTTAAAACCCTTTAATCCCCAAGAGTGACTAGCATGCACTATTGCCTCAAAATCAATGGCAACATCATGAGAATACAGGAAATAATTATGTTGCCAAATATCGAAATAATTTAGTGGCCAAAATTTTTTGCTACTTGCCATGGAGACAGGTAAGGTTGAAACTTAGAGCACTGGGTCAAGAGTATGATTCTGTTCCTAGAGGGTTAATAATAATAATAATAATAATAATAATAATAATAATAATAATACAAACATTTCTATAGTGCCCTATTCTAGAGTTCTAAGGCGCTTAACAATAAAATGTCTAAACAGTAACTTAGCAAATAATAAATTCGAAAAATACCAAAGCAAAACTACAAATTGAAATAGCGCTTAAAAAGATAAGTTTTAAGGTTGCTTTTAAAAGATGTAAGATTTAAACTACATTTCATATGCTCTGGAAGATTATTCCAAAGTTTAGGGGTACAGACCAAAAAAGCACAATCACCATAAAATTTTAACCTTGATCTAGGTGTCACTAACAAGTTCCTGGTTGATGATCGTAAACTCCTAGTTGGCTTGTAAGCTTGCAACAAATCACGAACATAGCTAGGACCTAAATCATTTAAAGATCTATAAGTCAACAGTAGGGTTTTGAAAACAATCCTCTGCTCCACAGGAAGCCAGTGTAGCTCCCTTCGTAAAGGGGTAATACGATCATATTTAGAACCACATAAGATTAGACGCACCGCACAGTTCTGAACTAACTCTAACTAACTCAATAAGTATTATTACTAAGGTGGAATATTTCACTCTTTAACCCCTTAGCCCTTAAGAGTGACTAGCATCTGATTTCTCCTTACCATATCAACCCTGAATCAAACATGAAAGTCATGAGAATAAAGGAGATGATAACAAACTAAAGCAGCTCTTGATTGTTAAACAAATTCTCCTTGTCAGCCTCTTTGGAAATGTATAGAGAACAGTATGGAGAATGTGCAAACTGATCTAAGGGTGAAAAGGGTTAACAGGAAAATTAAGAATGAGATAATGGCAGTTTGTTAGGTACATAATGATCTTAAAACAAGATTTTACTGCACAGAACAACAACTGAGACTGCAAAGAATCACTGAAAATTGTGTATTTAATACAAGTGTGGACTTAAATTGATGACATTTTGACAGCTCACTACTAGATGAAGCAAAAGAAATGGCTCTATCTTGTTCCTGTTTAATTTTTCTGTCCATAAAGAAGGTTGTTTACAATTACTATAAAAGCTTCCTCAACCAATGAAATTCATGACCACAAGATGGAGAATGATGCTGGCAAAGATAAAATCAGCAAATGCTCTCTCTGGAGAAATCCCTTTGAAATCAGAATAGTTGGCTGGGTTGCTTTGCACTCGTAGACAAACTGTAACAAAAAGTATTACACCATTACACAAAAGAAATTGCTTCATGGGGGATCAGTCATTCAGTGATTTGTTATAAGGCAAAACAAAGAAACTAGTAGACATGATTTGAAATCAAATGAAAAAATTATAAATTAAATGTAAGTACATAAAAGTGCAAGATAATACAATGCTAAAGCACAAAGCCACCATCACTCCAATTAAATTTCCTCTCTGTTCCTGTGCAACAGGAGTTGCAGGTAAAGCTTTGTCTTGAGCATATGTTAAATTCCACTATTGTAGAACATTTGGCCATTAATTATGGTTTTGTTATTTTTTTCTCTCAAAATCAAGCCCACAAATGATCTTAAATATTTCAGAAAAACCAATGCAAATTGTGAGCTCAGTGTTTCCGGAAAATTACAGCAAATTGTTGGCTATAAAATTCTGTGCTAGAGTGGTATACTTCACTTACGCAAATACCACGTGTCTTGTAAGATCTTTCAATGTACGTGTCACACGCAGAAACTGAGACAGTAGATTGCCCACAATTTACTCGCAAAACATGCTAATATAACGAGTGAATATCAGCGTTCGCTCTATATATCTTCTTACCTCCTAAAACAAAAGATCCGACACAGGAAATAAATCCAGACAGGAATGAGTTGAATGGAAAAGTTCCCACTAAGCAACAGTACACGAATTGAATGATTCCCGTTAGCATGATGTAAAACAGATATGCATCGACTATCTTGAGCTTCTTTGGTGTCGTCTGGTTGTATTCATCATAGAATTTCACCAGGATGTTCTTTATGTTGGAGAAAGTATCCATATTCGTATCCCCTGAGGTACGTGGTGATCTTTCCACACGACAAAGAGCTCCAAGAAAGGAAGAAGAATGAAATGCAAAGCATCATGGGTTTTGTTGACGTGTTGGACTGGTGCTAGTTTTAGAATTTTGGCGCCGAAAGTTTCTTCCTGATCGATGTGATTTCTGCGAAGATTTTTTAAATTACGCTGTGTTTGCTTCTTTATTCCTCTACCAGAATGTCTTGTTGGGAAGAGCTACAAACGAAGTCGTAGATCAGAGACAAGGTTAACACAAAAAGAAACGCTACTTCGTCGAAGAAAAATATATCCATTATGAGTTCTGAAGGGCCGCCGCTTCGTTCTCATCCAAGCTCAGAGCTTGATTACTATGACATCGACGACATACTGGCCACACAAGGAAGAATTCCATGTAAACTAGAAGCACAAGTTTATAATCTGGGCTTCTTAGATCCTAGTTCTGAAGGAAGTGATCTCCAGGCTGGATCAAAACTCGAGCTTCCATTCTGGCTGGCGAAAGAACTTTGCAACAGAAGAAGAAAAATTGTTTCGGTGGACATTCCTAAAGCTTACAAAGACGGCTACCGTGAGATTTTTAAAGCTGACGCTAGTGTTGTGGATCTTCATCGATTAGGACCGTATTTTTACGAGTTTGGAACAAAGTTGCTACTTTTTGATTTTGAAGAAAATTCCCAAATGGCTTCTTCCATGCAGGAGGTACGTTAACTTTGTGTTTAACGAGAGATAGGCGAGGTGGGGATGAGGTTTTTTTTTCTTTGTTTGTTTGTTTTTCTCTTTTCTCTCCCTGGGTTGTGTGGGTAAGGGGGAAGTTTGCGTAGTCAAAGTCTTAAATAAAGAAGTGGGCAAGATTTCTGCAACACCACCATACTTTATCATTGAAAACAATGACAAGGACGTACCCAAACCAGTCGCTAAACACTCTAATCTCCCTAATCTTCCCAAGAAGTAATCTTTCCAGGTCTGTTACGATAAAGGAAAATAATGCAGAAGAGAGTACTGAAACAAATTCAGGCTTTAACTGAAGTTGAACCCATGCCCCCCTGCCCCCCTCCCCCCCTCCCCCCCATCACTTATTAGGTACAACTATTTAATGAGTCACAAAGCCACAAGTAAGGAGCATTGTAGGTTCTTCATTCCCACAGAGGAATGAGATCACAATTAAGGGACGATTCATTTGATTGCTTGGCTGGTAACATAATTTTAGATGATAGTAAATTCTGTTGTCAGACCTATCGCAAGTTCTGCCCTTATAACCTTCTTATAATCTGACAAGAAAAAACTATGGGTCCAGTAATTTTCCCTTTTAGCTAAACAGTAAAATGTGCTGTTGTGGAGATTTCCCTCATTTAGTTTACTTGTTTGTTTGTTTTTAATTTTCATCTTCCTTAGACCAATTGATGGAAATACTCATCTCAATGTTAACTGCAAGTAAATTTGAAACACCTATTGATGTGACTGGGCTTTCCTTTCAGACATTCATGAAGAGATTTAGAAAAATAATGGATTCATCTCAGAATGCTGCAAATGAGGATACCTCCTTGTTAACAAACAAGCTGGAGCACATTGAAAGACAGGTGTTCACTGCAGGACGTAAGGGAGTGAAAGAATTTCTTCAGTGGGAGGCTGGCAGAACATCCAAACTTACAACATCAGAGAATGTGGTCAACCATAAAAAACGCAAAAGGTCTATGATTGAGTGAAATTTCACACCAGGCTGGGTCAACAAAGAGGTTTGGACAATGCCTTAGATTTACTGTGTTCTTAATTGTACAATCGTGATTTAAAGGAGAAGTATGCTCAAGAGAGCATGTTATTTTTAATCTCTCCCCTAAAATATCTGAAATTGACTTTGAAAGCAAGAATTTTGTCTTTTTATAAGATAAGGCCTATAAGCTGATAGGTTTTTCTGTTCTTGTCACCTGTTAAGTGGATTAAGTATAAGCATAGTGAAGAGAAGTTATACTAGTATGTAATTTTGGTCCATGAGGTAGATGGTTGACTTATGTTCACACCTTTTGATGTACTGTTCTGTCCTCATTTTTTTAAAGTGAGTCTGCTAATTTATTTTTTGCAGCCTATTAGATTTAATATACTTTATTTCATTCTTTCCCTCACTTTCCTTAAATTAATTTACTGTAAATGAATACGATTAACAACTCTACCATGGGATCTGTATATGTTTTTGGCCAAACACATCTTGAGAAACTAATGAATTTTTTGAAAATCACCTATCAGCCGTAGCACCATTATAACTAAATGTGAATAGGATGTAACTTGGAACCATCTACTTATTTTTAGTAGACTTTTATTGAACACAAACTTGTTTTAAACAAAACACTCTCTTGTAACAAATAACAATTATTAGAAATATCACACGAATCACATACTGTCAACACCCAAAAGTGGAATTTATAAATCTTGAAGTAAATTTTTTCGTGAATATCTTATGTACTGTTATTTAAATTGATCATTATTCATTAATATAGACACTACACTAATTCTAGACATTGATCTGAGTTTTCTTTTAGAATCTAATTTTTACTTACTAGCTTTAAACCCTTTAACCCACAAGATCTCAGGGGTAATTCTTCCTACTGTCTACCATGCAATTCTAACTTATAAGATTAGTTCAGATAATTTAGTATTGAATCAACTAAGAATTCCCTAATTCATATTATTCTTTATTCCTTTTACTTTTCTGCTTAATATTGTTTAAATATCATAAGGAGAAATTCCTTCTTGGTCACTTGGGGAGTTGAAGGTTTAAAAAGACCTACAAATCTTACTTTATTGCGAGCTCACAACTACATTTTGGTTGGCATGGAGGTTGATTAAGGAACAAGTCAGATATATTAATACCTCTACAAGAGACATGTCAACATGTCTCACTTTTTCAATCTTTGTTCAGCTGATGATTTGAAGTTGAGGATGTGGTACTGAAATGGCTTGCTTCTTTGAGGGTAAAATTTCACAGACCACAACATCACCAACAAATTGACCTTAATTTTCTATTTTTACTACACTACTTCTATTGGTCATAGAAATGACATAAACAGTGTTCAAATCTCTAAATACAGCTTTGCTCTGGGACTCTGCCCTCAAACTACTCATAAACAAATACATTTTCTCCCAACTAGCCATCAGCATGAAACAGGATTGGCATCTCAAATTTGCAATTAGTTTGTAAGGTTAAAGTAGTTCTAAGAAAATTCATCCTTTCACTCCCAAGATCTAATTTCAATTCTCCACATTATCTGCAATACATTTTTTATGTTTCAGATCTGATTATTTTTTGTGAAATCAAATTATAAGCCTTAATTGAAATTTTCCTTCTTCTCATCACCTTTCTCATGGAAAATGTATAAATATGAAAAGGAGAAATTCACTGTTGGTCAATCCTGGGAGTGAAAGGGTTAAATTTCATCAACTCCTTCTTTACAATCACAATTTAATAAATTTAACAGCTTCAACCTAGGTTCACTCATGGGTATCTTACCACCAATTGTTTTGGAATGAGCTATTTAGCTATAGTTAACAATAATATTTACTTTATTGTTCTACAATAACTTAAAAAAAATAACTCATTATTTTCCTCTCTAAACACCGATGAACAAATATATTGCCCCTCATCAAAAAAAATAATAATAATAAATAAAATATACACGACTGTTTATGGATGACATGGTCATTCTTTACATGAAAGCGATCCTCGCAGTACTGAAACAGTATCTTTCATGAAGATTGCTTTCATATTCATTTCTTAAACTGCAGTTCACACATATGATTTCAAATATTCATGGTCAATGGTCAATGTGTTTTTACAAAGCTCACCCAATCCATTGTATCTTGGTCCTTGTTTACTGCCAATAGTAAATAAAAATGTCAGTTAAGATAAATGATTACTGCTGTTGAAGAGGTTCTTTCCAAAATATTATTTGAAATTACTTTTTGAATAAAAACACACTTTTAAATTGGAGAGTGACTGGGTCAAATGTAATATTTACATAGAAAAGCCTTCTTTTATCAAAGTTTCTTGAAACAGAAGATCACTTTTAACATGTAGAATTTTGTGAAAAAGGCTCCAATATTTTAGCTTGTGAATGTTAACATATAACCACTCTTGTATTGATGTAAAAGATGATACAATATTTAACAAATTTAATTTTGTGAACAACTTTAGAATCTTGGCAGACTAAATTTCAGTGGCTTGAGCCACACTGAATCCAGATGTGGAAATTCTATGTTGCTAAATATTGCCATGTGATTGAGAATTTAATCTTTGATTATTTCCAAAAGTATTGTAGACAACATGGTCTTCCCATCATTTCTAATTAGAATACCAGTACAATCATCATTTACACAAGACCTTTGTGGCTTGATGGTGGCTGTACTCATATTGAAAAGTGTCATTAATTAAAAAAATCCCCCCTATGAGAGCCATATGCCATAACATCATAACATGAGCAGGACTAGAATTAGATGTAGCACCCTAAAACATGCCAGCTGAAAGCAGAAAGGAAGAAAGTGAAAAAGCAGCCATCCATTGAAAGCAGTCAGTGAACTCCCTTCTTTGATTTTGGGTTAGATTCCAGGTGGGACTAAGACCCAACTTTTCCTTTTATGTCTTCCAATATGGCGAACACTTCAGAGTCGGCAAATAAGAACACTCCAATAACAACATAGCAGGCACCAAGACCAATCAATAGTTTTCTTGTCAAGGTGAGAACTGGATATTGTAGCATCTCTTGAACAAGGCACATCCCTGAACAAAAAAAAAAAAAAACAGGAAAAAAGAAGATGAATTTGTGTAAGACACTAGACATTGCAAGTGAAGAAATTGGAGGTCATGATTCATGTAAGGCTAAAATTATGTTGGTGTTTTTGCATGTGCTACCCAACCGTGCAAGGAGGATTTATTGTATTTATGGCAATTTTGAATTAAGACATTATCCACTAAAAATTTGTCATATTTCTTCATAATGTCTGCAAGATTTGCTAAGTCTTCACCATTTCACAAATAAATACCATGTTACCATGCATCTATTCAGTAAAAGATCACTTATGAGGTCAAAACGCAGTAAGAACAAAGAAGTGCAACATGAGGCACAGTCTGATCTTACCACAATTTGACATCTGTGATCTACTACTGGAGCATGCCAATATGGAATCTGTTGGCTTTATATAACAAAGAAGCAAAACTTGTCAGTAGTAACAACATCTATGCATAAGTCCCCTGATAGGTCATGAGGAAGAGCCAATCAAAATGCATCTTGGGTGTAGAATTCAGCTTCTTAGGATAGAACATTTTCCCTCTGCATTAAGTGTTTGCTTACCTGGGTAGAAGAAAATGAACAAGGCTGCTAGTCCTCCAACGAATGTTATGGCATACAATACATCCTGCACACATAAAGAAATTATAAGGGATAACCCAAACCAAAGTAGTATTTCAATGATTCTCCGTTGTTTTTCATCTGTTCCTGCTTTTGTGGGAGGCACACTGAAGGCTGCCACATACAAGCCATCCAAACTGCTCCTGTAAGTAACAGAAATGAAATGTTGTTTAATTTGAGCTTTGTAAAAATTTTAAAATTCTTGGAATGTGTACTATATTTAACAAATAGAGAAGCCTGCTCAAACTCCCCAATCAAGAAGTGGGGAAAAACTCAACTATGTCTCGTTTTTTTCCCAACACTTCTTTCACGCTTTAACTGCTTCCTTTGTGCTTTGCGACAGAACAGAGCACAGCCAAGGCTTCTCTATTTGTTTTATAGTAACTAATGTGTTAAATTCCCCACGCATTATTTTCAATTTTCAAAACAAACTTTACTTCCAAAGCACTTTACTTCCAAAGCAAACAAGAGCATCATCAACAAACATGCTCTATACTCTGATGGAGCAGGCTTTCAATCAATGACAGCTTACGTTATATCCAAACTTTATTATAAACATCCTCACAACTGAGTACCAGGGAAATTTCACCAATTTTAACTTTTGCGATTTTGTAAAATTACCTGTACTTTTGATAAGTTTCTTTTTTATTGTTGTTGTTATTGTAACTGTCATTACTTGATTGTGAACTTGGTTTGTTAGAAGTATTGACTCTCAAACCCCTAATAATGTTCGACATCTATTTCTCCTCACAATATCACCCCTTAATCAAACACTAAGCTGGACGGAATAAAGAAAATAATCACCAACTAATGAAACCCATGATTATTGCATAAATTCTCCTTCTCAGCAACTCAGGAATTGTGTAGAGAGAAGTGTAGATAATATAAATACTGATGTTACATTGTAAATGGTTAATGATCAAAAAATAACTGCAAAAAATATTGGCAGTACACTATCTTACCTTCCACAGAAAACAACCACTGCTGCTGATGTTAAAACTATGAGACACATTGTGACCCTTGCTATATTCACTAGAATGTCATTAGATGGATAACTCTTCAGCACATCACTTTCGACATTTGTGCCAAATGTAAGGTAACCAAATGTTCCAGTGATGATGTACACAGTGGAACAAATTGTCATTGCTATGACAACAACAATGCCAAATCTGGGTACACTTGCTCTTTTCAGTTCTGCATAAACAGCCACTGACTGTACATGACACTAAAAACATTGGATAGACCACATTAGAAACAGTAGTGATTGCAAATATCAAGAACTCTGTGCTAATAATGCACAGAATATTATTTTTTGGGGTGAGGTTCTCAGACTGTGAATAGTCAGTTGATGGTTTGCCATTGATTGTGTAAGGTGTTACAAGATAATTAGTGAGACGAAAAGCATTTGTGGATATCTTAAGGATTATAATAATAATAATAATAATAATAATAATAATAATAACTTTATTTAAGTGTCAGTGTATTTTAGCACTGCTGTGCTAATTGGGGACACTGTAAATAAGGAAACAAATATCGTAAATGAACAGAAACTCGTTAAAAACGCCAACTGGTAGGAGGCAGACCAGTTGGTTATTTACAAAGCGTGCAGGAGTTGAATTTGGGGCCACCGAAGACAAATCCATCCACTGGCAGGGAGGAGGACTTGAACCCGGGACCTCCGGCTTACAAGTGCAGCGCCCTAACCACTAGGCCACGCTCGCCTCCTAAAATATAAACAATTGGATGATAGGAGGATAGGAGTGCTGATTTAAAAGTTAAATATTTTTTCTCGAGTTTTGTGGCTTTCCAAACTGCCTAGATATAGAGGAAGGCTGCAGACTGCCCATATGTTAATCTGTGTAGAGGTATTTCATCTTCAAAGCAAGTAACAATGGAACATGGTGACAAATGACAAGCAAAACCACAATGTTGCTATTTTGCTACAAAATAGATGTTGTAGTAACTGTATATTGTTCTTCAACCCTGACATTTTCTGCAGAAACCATTTACTGATTGTCCTCTAAACACTGGTAAAGGAAGGTTGCATACTCTTGGGACAGAAAAGTTGTATAATTTGCATTTATGATTTGCAATAATAATTTAAGTCCTTCCTTATTGCATAACTTGGCTCGAGGAGATGGCAAGACTGTTTTTCCCAATCCAGATGTATCAGAAGGGCTCAGTATTTTGCACTTTCATACTGCATGCACCTTCCCTGCAATTTGTTACTGTTAGTAATAAACAAAACTCATGATGATAAGAAGATTTCTTAGGTCGATACAAACCTGAAAAGCAAAACAAATAATGGGAACTGAAGAAAATGTGGTTGTCCAAGGCAGCTCAATCCTAAGATGTGACAACAAAATTAAAATCTTGTCACTAACAATATATTCTTTCTAACAAAGAGGTATAAATTACAATTGTGATGTGATGTTATTTCACTAAGAAAGTTCAAGAGAATGTCCAGAATATATGTCCATCTCACAATGTAGTCTCCTAGTTTGACCATTTTGTGACAAAGCAAATATGACTGGAAAAGACAGAAAACAGACCAATAGCATATGCCTATACTGGATCAAAAAGGGAACAATCACTAAAACATGTTCATAGCATGGCATGTCATTCATCTTCCCACTTCCTGCACTGACCATAAGGCCATTGTATGATTCTTCCCTAATAACCCTTTAACACCTAAGAGTGACAAGGTTCTAATTTCTCTTTACAATCTATCCCTTGAATCAAATGTTTAAATCACAAGAACAAAGGAAATGATCAGCAACTAACAAAACTTTGATGGTTTTACAAATTCTCCATAGTAGAACATAGGAAATGTAAAGAGAACTGTATGGAGAGTATGCATAATGATGTTAGGGTGTAAAGAGTGAATTACTGTAATTACTGCACTTACTCTTCAAATT